ACATCTTTCCTTGGTGTGGACAGTCCGTCGTGGATGGTTAGCTAGCTTTTCGGAAACCATTACTAAGGTTCATGTAGGAGCTCGCGGTTGAACCTTTAGCTTCGGTGCATAACATCGCGTTCACCCCTGGTCAGTTACTTATTTATTGCTCATTTATTTAGCTACTTATTTACGCACTCGGTACACCCCCACCCCTCCCCCCACGCCGCTCCAAAAAAAAGAAGGGGCGTGAACAACGCGAATCGCCCAAGATTTTCAGTGGGAAAAGCATTTTCGAGGTCGACCCTGATGACGAACCGGAATTGTAAAGATTGCGAAGAAGAGATGACTAAAATATTTCATTTCGGTTCTTGACCCCTTAGGCGAAAAATCCTGTTCATTTGTATTCCTAACAAATCTCATTCACCCGGTTTAATAATACATGAATAAAAGGGATAGAACCAACAAAAAACGATATAGGGGCATCAATTGGTTCGAGATAGGTGTATTCCTCTCTATCAATCCAAGCAGAGCCGAAAAAGGCAGCAGAAGAAGCAGGGACAAGCGTTTCCAAATTGGAAATATGAGATAGATTGCGCAAGGAAATAACATCGCCCAATTTACTTATTTATCGATTTATTTATTGAGTTATTTATCTGCTTATTCTCTTATCTAAAAGGCTCTGCATCTAAAAGAAAAGCAATGCAAGAAGAAAAAAAAGCTTTAAAAGAAGCATGAACATAAAAAAGCGTAAATTAAATTTCTGGGGCCAATTCACGGCTTCTCTGCGACACAGAACCCTATAGAACATGCCAGAAGTTTGTTACATGCTCAGCTTTCTGGTATTGATGCTCAGATGCTTCCCATAAATGATCGCCAGCCATGACAGTGAATAGTTACCGTTGTATCTTCCTTCTTTTCACCAATTCATCTACTTCTCCTAGTAGCGTAGCTATTAGTTGCTGAGCTCGAGTTCCTAAAAGATGAAGGACCAACTCATTTCAAAACCAATTCATTCCGTAATTAGGCAATGCACGACCAAAGGCTCATTTGTCTACGTCCTACTACTCCGAATGGAAATTGAGCCAGAGGGGCATTTCAAAAGGGTTGTTTGATACAACTGGGTATTGTGTCTATCACCCAACACACACTCGTCACACCCTCATCCTTACTTTCAGTGTTCCGTTGAGATGGAAATCAGCACTTGATCTTGACTTCGCTGTTGTATCATTACTTTGCATAAAAAGTCTTCCTTCATTCGAACATGAGAGAGCTAGCAGAAGAAGGTTTAGATCGGAAAGCGGAAATCGCAACGGGAACCATCAAAATCTAGTCAGAATTCTGTAGTAGAACTCTTTAGAAGTTCATGATGGAGGTGAATAATTTTGAAACTGAAGGAACATAACTTTGAATACATCAATGTTTGCTCGGAAATCAACTAGAAAACTTATAATTTTTTGCTGTGGATTTCTCTGATTTCATCGTGAAATGCTGCCTAATAATTAAACAAAAAAAGGCAGTACAGATAAACCTTTTCTACCGTAGGAAAGAATCTACAGGTACCGTAGTCAAAATGTCAATAGTTTGCTGATGTATTGAATCGCGAAACTGATAGAAATTAGAGAAGGCTGATTGTTCAGGTTGAAGTCAGGATGGTCCGTACGGACTGCAACCGCTCGTTCGCCAACCAATTCCAAAGGGAATAATGGCATTACCGAAGCCGAACAGGAGCATATTAGGCAGGTTAGTAAACGGAAAGTAGCTTTTTGAGTAATCTAATTCGTTTTTTTTCCCTTTTTGTCATTTTTTTTTCAAAGTAACGAAATTGTGGATGAAATTGAATCAATGGTTATGTGGACATTTGCGACTTTAGACCTATTTATCCCCATTTACTTGGCCTTTTTAATGATGATTAGCCCGAATTTGACAAAACCTATATCATTTCAAACAATATTGTAAAAAAGGCCTAAGATATATATCATTGCCTGATTTTCACGATATAAATAAGCAGTTGTATTCTGGGCTGCATGCTGTATTTTTAGGTTCTTGCAAAAGCTGAAGCAAGTCGGCTCAAGGAACAGCAACGATTAGGGTAAGTTTCAGATCGATTTTGGCATGGGAGTTTACAGAGTTTTCCTAGAAGTAAATTTTGATAGATTCTTAGCGAAACAGCTGCTTTCCCAAACAACTGTCCATAATTCTTGAACATTACTTCGTTACGATATATGGCCACCTTTATCTTCTGATTCGAAGCGGTAGAATTTCTCAGTGCATTTGATTTATACCTAAATTTTAGCTCATTGAAGCGGTAATGGAGTTTTTCATAATCTGGAAAAGATGGCTATTCTCTTCGTCATTACTGAAAATAGGAACAATGCAATTCTTGGATTTGGATTTTTTCTCTTATTCCCAAGTCTCACTCTTGCCTTATGGCTTCCTGTACTTATTACTTCATTCCTCTGGATTAGATTAGTGCGAGGGCTTCTGTCAGATCTGTAGATCGTGTGAACTTAGTTTTCGTTCAAAATCATGGAGCTATTAAAAAATGTCGGTAGTTTAGAAGACTTTCTTGTGATACCTAAGCAGTGTTCATTACGATGGCTGTTCTTCTTCCCTAGCTGTGGCTTTGAACTCCATTCCCGACTGTTCTTCGATCTGATCTCCAAAGCGATATAAGTTTAAAATATACAAAATGCTTCGGTACTGGTTGATTACTGCCCTAACCAAATTGAAATGGAATCTGAATGGTGATGGCCTAGAATTATAGCCTATATGCTAATATTAGCGTATTCGATCAGTGCTGGAGGTGCCAGTGGTGCAACTCCCTTTCATCGAAGGTATGCAGGGATGAATTAGGAATAGGAGAAATTCGATCTTGCATTCAATCCAGGCTACGTATGAGGTCCTCTCTTGCTACGGACATCCACTCATCCATGAATAGTTGGTACTGTAACAAAAAACCCAGCTAGATTCTCAATGGGTATACTCAGTACGTAAGTTTCACGGAGAAAGAAAAGTTCCATATTGCCATGACGAGGCAGATACTACTCTTGAACTGGTCTTCTTTCCAAAAGACAGCTCGCGAAGATTGGAATTCCACTTGACCGCTGTACGTACCGCTCATTTGCTATCTGGTGAGCTATGATTCACTTCTAGATATCTTTTCATTGGATACCCTAAAATCTCCATCCGATAAAAATAGCAAAAAATGGGGATGTAGGGACAATGTACTCCGCCCTGTCAGTCCAAGCAGCGACAGAAAAAAGCGCTAGAAGCAGTAACAGGCAGAACAGGAGACTAATGATTGTAAATTTTTTGGCTATTTCGAATGTGCTGCACCTCTTATTAAAAAATGCGTTAGGGATTTTGTAGCTTTTTCAAGGAGAACCCTTCACTCTCAATCTTCTCGTAAGGTGCCATAGGCAGAGCCTTGATGTAAGTCTTTTGAATCACTCAAAGCTCGAGCCCCTCCTTAGAATTGTTAGTGGCCTACTAAAAAGTTATTTGTCTTTCCTTTACTCTATGTATGTCATTACGTTCGCTTGGCAGAGCTATAACCCTTGTACAATTCTACATAAAAGTCACCTCGTTTCCGCTTGGATTGTGATGAAAGCTGAAGTATTTGGCTTGGAAAGCTATTTGTGTATGTGCTCTAATGGGGTTGAGAGGTCTGTCGACTCGAAAAGCCTTTCGCTTTATTCTGGTGATTGATAATTCGTGCTGACACGTTTTTGGCCCTTCCGAGCTAATTTTTAATGGCCTCTCGGCAAAGGCACACACCTCGTGACCACATCTTCCAGAAGCCTCCGCTACGTGGGTAACCTGCTCCGTGGTGGTCGGCCTCCTGAACATTTTGAATCGTTATACTTCCTCCGACATCTACGACTTTTTTGCAGTTTTTTTTTCTTTTTTCGCCAATTAATCACAAATTATCACCTAGTTGATAACTACTCCGGTACATTCCAAAAAGGTTGTGTAGGAGAAAAATCGAACCAGGGCGTAGATTTCCTACGGTAGCCTGTCCTTGCCGTGACCGCCCCCTTGTGATATGTCCTCATTTTACGTCAAGAATTTCAGTAAGATGGTCGATCGACTTGAGAAAATGCGACGACGAGCAACCGGTAACGGTGTCACCCACTGCCTACTGTGCCATACAGAATTCGGCTTGCTGGCTTCAAAAAGCTATGCGGCTATGTGTGTCGACTGTAGAAAGGTTTGTTCCCATTTGAATATTTAGTCAGAATCGCAAAATTTGCAATTGAATTCTGCTTTCCTTGGAGAACCTGAGATATTGGGCCGACTCATAGATTATCCGACCGAACATCTAATTATCCGAAAAGACCCTCGAGATCAACCTTATAATCACACGTCCTAGGCGAGTGGAATATCCATTCCCAAGCGATTGCCAGAATCGACCCTGGGGAGTGATGGTAGTGTCAAAAGTTCATGAACTGTGGTCGAAGGCCCACTTCATATGGGTACATTAACTGGCACGCGTTAGTCAGTAGGGTGTTTATGACCTCGTGTGGAGCTATATTAAGAAAGTAATTTCAATAATAATGCCGAGGTTCATTGAAGGTCGTGCGTGGGTGTACAGAAGACAATGTTGTAATACTCAAAAATATTTATCAGTTGGAAAACGAAATGTTTCTATTTGTCAACAACTTTCAGCTTCGGTTAGTTTTTCTTCTTGCAGTATGTGTGCCAACGAAATTGTGGTGTCGAAACGCTGGATACACAACGTGGAGAGGTCATCTTCCTGTGCAAAATCTGTTCGGAAGCACGAGAGGTGGTTAGTCACCGGGTGGTCAGCTGCTTTTCCTGTGCTATTTCACTGTTTTATCCGTTCAAAACAGCTTCTTATCTGTTCGGGCTCTCTCTGTTCTTTTGTTCTTTCCTCCCTTTGTTTCCCTTTGGATTGCAGGTTCAGTTCGTATCGTCAGTTGAAGTTTGAGTTACCTCGTTGTGACTTTTATGACTCCTAACGACCAGTTGCTACGGGATAGTGGTAGCTCCCAGCTGAGGATAGGATGTCGACCGAGCAGTAACTTAGCAATTTCTCTATATTCTGCTTTGAGCTTTTCACTGGAATATGCCATGAACTTGCTTACCAAGCCCACCATCTCGGGTTCCATCCTAATAATAGATCTCAAGAAATAACAGATTTCTGATTTGACCGTGTCAGTCCTTTCAGCGGGAGCCGATTGTTTTCGCACCGACTGGGTAATCTTCTGGGAGAACTATGAATACAATACAATTCCAGACCTTGAACAACTGCCCTATCCTACCACTTCGCTGGCACTTCAGAACAATTTAAATACTCTGTGCTGTACCTTGCGTAGCGAGGAAGAATCGTGAACCAACTGGGAAATTTGAGACCCATGAGAATCCTACAGTAACCGCTTTTCCCTGCTCCGCGGTACCCTGCATCTCCACAGCTCAAACTCATTCCGTAGATGTCTGAGATTTACTGAATTAAATTGGAAATTTAATACTCTCAGATCACATTTCAAATATTTTGTCCGTAATTTTCCCTACGTCTCTGTGTACTCTGTACGCTGACGCTATCAAAAGCGACCACCCAAGAATTTTGCTTTTTGGTTTGTCAGATGAACTTGGCCATTATTCATCCATACCTCTCGGTCTTGATGTCAGCCCAGAGAACGATTTCGACCCCCAAAAAGGGGACTTGAGAAATTAGTAACTGAACATGGTTTATCTATGAAAATATCATTGCTAAACACTCCTAATTCTGGTAGCCGAAGCTACCAGATTTTTGGAACCTACACAGATTTACTAGGTGGGCCTTTCCCTCAGCCGTACGGGAACGAACATAAGGCTTCAACGAGAGGCGGGGTCGAAAAGTGGTCAATTTCATATATTTTTTTAAAGTTCCCCGGGTGTTGCCCCTATTGTTCATCCACCACTTTGTTGCGACGTAATCAGTTCCGTTCCCATCAACATACTTTTCACTTTATAAAGTCCATTTATACGCACTCAATGAAATGAGGGAACCTATTTGGATCGAATGGAACTCATTTAAATGGGTGAGACAGCCTGCAGGCAAAACCATGCTGGTAAGGATATTGTTGATGGAAACGGATCCCCTAGTTACAATTGTCTAAATATTTGCTTGGTGTGGCATTAGTGTCGAAATTCTAGAATTGCTGAGGCATTCGAAGTCTCCCGACATTATCCTCCTCCTCAAACTGTTGCTTTGTTATTCGCATGTGCTCAACCGACTGTGCCATAGGTCAGTTTGAGAATCTTTTCAGTTGTGGAAAAAATCAGGAGCATGGTTCTACAAGGAAGTGCCTGAGTTTGTGCGTCCTGAAGCGAACGGTAGCGTTATCTCTCCTCCACCTCAGCGCAAGCCTTCTTGGACGTCACCGGCTGGTTCGTCCACATCGTTGCCTTATGCACGACGTCACCTTCCGCCAACGCCAAATGAGAGGTAAGCTGCGTGCCAAAGGCTCAGGGTATTCTGAAAAGACCATCAATATCCTAACTGAATCCGTTCAGCGGCACTCCGACATCTGCTGCGTTACCGGATATTTTAATAAGGTTCGAATATTTGGAAGTAAATGCACAGTTATGAGTGACAGCACCTAAAATCTCTGTGCACAGATGAATTCGTGTTTTTGTGGTGGTGGATTGTTAAAATGTCCAGATTGAGGGGTATGGGTACATTCACCCAGAACTGGGTGGACGCGGCAACATTCGTGGCGATTTAAACGACCTTGGCGCTTATCGTTGGAACCGAACTTCGAAATAGAGTCGATCAGTACGATCATCTGACCATACTAATAAACTCTACTTTGAGCTTGCGCCCCAATGATAGGTGCCAAAGTCGTCCCGAACGCCGCGAACCTAGCCGCGCCATTTGCCGCGTCCATCCAGTTCTGGGTAAACGTTCCTTCCCCCAAATTGAGCACGGTGTGATACGGTACGGTGATGCAGAATTCTATGGTCGCAGAAATGTTAGAGTTAATCAGTTCTGATCCTTCAGAATTTATATGAGTTTCGCTCACCGCTTCAATCCCCTGCTTCATAGCTTTATGCAACTTCGTCTGAGTGAAAATGCTGTTGTGGGAGCGGGTGAGGCAGCTTGGAGCTCAGAGGAGAAGGGGTAGCCTTCCTTGCGAGCTCGTAACTATGCTTTCTAACTTCCTAAATTGGTAGTTTTGTTTCGCTATTGAAAGGGAATGAATTAGTAGCCAGCTGAATGTTCGATTCTTCTCTCATTCTGGTTTTTGCACGAATAAGCATCTCACCCACCTCGATGCAACTAATCCTCCTTGGGCCTTAAGAGGCTCAGTTTAACTCACTGTTCAGTGGGAGAGGGACTCCTGCCCGTATTTCAGCCCTTTACCAATGACTTCCGCTAAATCCAGCTTTAGTGCTAAGGGGTGCCTATGAGGGAGATTTCACTATTGTTACAGTATGATGCTCATTCACATTTGATTGTGATTCATCGGGCTGATCTTGAAGTAGGATTAGCTCAACCTTACGCTCACCACCTTACCTTTAGCCGTGATCATTGTGGTATGCAAAAGTGATCCTCGAGCGTCATTAATCACTGTCGCTCTTTGCCCAATATGCTCCATTTCAGGAACAAATCTCCTCGACCACGAATTCAACCGTCATGGGTAAAGGAGAAGGTGATGTCGTCGATGTCCGTTGATGACGATGACAGGTAATCAAATCTTCTATGCTCCCAATTTTATAGTCGTAAAAGTCGTTCAATTGTAGAAGCTCGTCTGAGGGCGAGTTTGCCCAGTCTGGCGTCGTCAGAAGAAATCACAAAGCATCGTTGGCCGCTCGACGTGAGGAAAACTTGGCTCGATTCGCTTTACATGCCACTCATATCAGCGATAGCGGTCAGTTCTGAACTAGATTTTTCTCTCCAATATTCTGAAATATCGAAAGAACCAACGGAAAGGCATGGGTAAGGTGGCCCGTCGCGTATTCGTGGGCACCCGCACGCGGTGCTCTTGATTTGTACGTGAACAGTTACTGGAAACCTAACCGAATTATTGACGGAATTGATTCACAAGTTGTTCCCATCAGATCATAAAAGTTTGACAAAGTCCTCATCTTTCAGAAGAAGAATCATCACCAGATTCCCGGGCGTCGACAAGATCTACATCACCACGCCGATCACTGGCTACGCCGTCCTCCTACGACTCCACCCACAACCAGACCGCTCCGCCCACTCACCATGACGATGCTAAAAGTATTGACAGCGGAGGTAATCGGAGTCAGTTTTTATTGCTACGGTTTTTGTTTTTTTTTTTTTGCAGTTTTCAATATTCATTAATTCACGGATAACCAGTTAACAACATATTTCGAAGATTTGCAAAATGGATCCCTCTGACAGGGCGAAATATTTAGCGAGTCTTAGTTGCAGTAATTAAACTTGTTCTGATTTCAGTGGTGCAATCGGACCATTCGAATCCACAGCAAGCGATGACGTTGTCCGTATCATCATTGGCGCCTTTCTCGTCACCAGCTGCCGACTTGCCCCCATTGCGACGGATCAGCCAGACTGAACTGCCTCCCGATGTGACCAAAGTGACGGGATCTTTATCCAGTACGTCCTAACCTCATGTCGTCTTCCTTCGCATTACGCCACGAATCCCCCTTTCACTTAAGATTGTATGAGAGACAAACGGGAGCTCTTAGCATCTCCTCTTGTGCAGTAGTTCCTCACACATACACAACGACTTGGTGGTACATGCCCTCCATTTCTTCTTACCCCCACGGGTTATGGTGGATTAATAGAAGCCTGCAAACAACTCTACAATTACCCACATTCGCCTTCCCACCCTTATTAGATTACCAGATGAAAATCATTTTCTCTGGGACAAAGCCCCAGGCAAAATCTTCTTTGAAATTCGAGAAATATTGCCTAGAACCTTGAAGACCAAGTCAGGTTTCCTATTTCGCTGAGTATTCGATGGCTTCATCAATCAAATATTCATGTTTTAGGAACCTCACTAACAACGCCACCTCCGATCCCTCCACGTACTAGTCCTACTGCAATGACGGAAACCCGACGATCCAGTCCTGCACCATCGGTTGACATGATGTCCAGGAAGATCAGCATCAGCTCCGCTGCAAGCACTAAACGAGCCGGAACTTCCACCGACAGTGTGAATGTCGTCGAACCGATCAAGGCACCGGTAAGCATAGGTACAGCTTTGGGTCGAATGGTCGGTCTGTCTGCCATTCCGATACAGTAACTAGTAACAATAGTAACCTTGTTTTTGAGCGGTTCTCAATGAGAATTTCTCTGATAACTTTCAGAAATCAATATTACTCGGGACTTTCAGTGATGGTAAGGTTGAATATTGGGAACTTTGAAATCATCGGCGTAATTTCGTAGTCTATTCTCTTGGAAGGACGCAAGAAAGTACGCCCAAAAAATCTTCAAATTTGAGTTGGGTGGGCTAAATCAGGTCGTGCGGCTTCTGAGTTCAACTTAGCCTCAGAATTTCGGGCCAACTAGATGCCTACACAACTGCCTAAATCGGCCTACCTTACCCTTAAAAGTTGCAGTAGGAAGTTAACCTGACCGCTTTGTAATCTGCAATCGTACATATATGGCTCTCCTTAAGCTGCTCACAGATTGATGTCCAACCTTAACTAGGATTAAATTCATTGACTGGTATGAGAATGATTTGTTTTTCAGCCTCCACGAACCGAATCGCCGACGGCTTCATTCATGAGCTCACCAGATGATGATTCAAGTACGACCCAATTTTTTTTTTTTTGAGATTTTCGAGTTTGGCTAGAATTTCCTTCACGAACTACCCCTCAGTAACCTCTCTCCTTCACTTGTTTGAGTAGCACAAATCGACATCTCTGCTGAAACCTTGAGAATATCATCCCTGATAATCGTCCTAGGGCTGTAGGGCCTCCGTTCCATGTGTATCGCGTAAGTCTTGTTGAGTTTTTAACGTTTTTTGTGACATGTTTGATTTTACTAGAGAGCATTTTCATCAAGCCTAACTAACCCACCCACGATAGACGCTTTGAGTAGTGTTGTGGATTGACAATAAGTTTCGAGTTTAGAGCTCGCTAGTTTTAGAGCACAGTGAGTGGCTCAAAATACATATCATGATTATTGGATCTACCCGTGTAGTGACCGCTATAAATAGAAATGACCGGAACTTCCACCGATAGTGTTAATGTCGTCGAACAGATCAAGGCACCGGTAAGCATCGATACAGCTTTGGAATAAAGTGGTCTCACTGCCATCCGACACAGTAGCTCAATGGTAACTTTTTTTTGATGGTTTTCGATAAAAATTTCTCCAAACTGGGGCTGGATAGGCTAAATCATGTCCTGTGGCTTCTGCGTCTTACTGAGTCCTTTGACTGTGTTTTGAATACCATTTTTAGACTAACAATCAAAAGAGATACAGACACTCGCACCTCATCTCCGAAGGAGCAGGAAGTTTGATGGGCAACTTTAGCCATCCGATGATCGATCCTCTATTGACCGCTGGAAAAAAAACGGAACACGATGATCGGGTGCCTAAGTGCTGTCGGACTGCTTCCTGCATCTTCTTGAACTTTCCCACACCCTCACCCACCCACCCATTCACAACACATCTATCGTTCGCATAGTTTTAGCTTCTTGTTATCCCCCGCTTGCTTTTGTAATTGTAGTTTTTGATTCCTATTTTTTAACCTACCCTTTTTTGAATTTTACAAATCGCCAGGCGTTTCCTTACAACGATACGCCACGGTACGGCCGGCAAAAGTCGACTGTTCAGAGTCACGCACGCGTCGTCGTGCCATTATCACTCGCTTCAACTCGTCGCCGAAGCAACCACCAGTATCGTCGTTGGCTACAACGCCTGCTACCACGGAGGATTCGTACGCCGACGAGAGTACGCCACCGGCCACCACCACCCACAACTCCCCAGATGACGACGGCGGCTCGGCTGTATCCATCACGTCTCCGCGACCTGGTTCGGCAATTCGACGACGCATGTCTTCTTCTCCGTTACTATCGTGCTTCCTTCCAACTCATTACCGTAGGCTTCAATTTAGATTTTAATTAAAAAAGAAAAAAGAAAAGTACTGAAGTCAACGGTAGTCGAAAGCAGAGGGAAGCCTCTAGGCATTGTTGTTGTGGGTGTGACAAAGCGTGTGATTGATCATTTCTGATTTTTGCGATTAGTTTGCAACG